GAATCAGTTTTGTTTGGTGGCTTCTCAGATTGAGGAAGTCCTTTGGATGAAAGACGAAAAGTTTCAGCACAAAAAAAAAAACAAAAAAAACGTACATATGACATTGTTGGATATGGCAGGAAGTGTTTTAGTTATTGCCTATTCAAAATTAAAATTATAAAGCCGGCAAAATTTATTTGGCCTTCTTTTAAATAAGTTGTTTTAGGTGCAAAAACATTTTTTTTTGTCTAGCAAAACGTTAGTTATTTTACTTTATTTTCAGTCATTTATAACAGCTAAGTTCTTTTATTCTTTTTTTTTATAAGAATCTGTTTACTTTTAGTGGTGATCCAAAAAGTGCAAGAAAACCTGGCACATGAATTAAAATACTTCACAGCTGCTTTAATTTACAGAAATGTATTCTAATAATCTCTTGATTTTGCCTTAACTATTTTGACAACATCAACAAAAAGACGTTAACATTTTGTAAAGCAAATTTCTTCTGTAAAATACCCAAACTATGTAACTCTGATTGCATTGTAACAAAATGTGCTATAAGCTCAGTGGATAACTGTTTGACATTGTTGGATGCAACAACCCTGTGTACACAATTTCATTCCACCACATGTACCACATGTACCACATGCGATCATGCGAATGACAATAACGAACCTTGACCTTGATAAAAAGCCACAACGTGTTTGTGAGACATGCTTACAAAACCGACAAAGTAAACGGGACATCACTGACTCTTAAATTGTTTTGCATTATGCTGTATAAGCTACAGAGCATAGAAAGTTAAAAGAGCACATGAAGCAGTAGCGCAGCTTATCATAAAGTCAAAATACAAAACCTCATTCCCTGATTCGTCACCACAAAGCAACCTTCTCTGCGTCTTGCACAAACATGCAGAATGTTGTTTGCAACATGAGCATGTGGGAGTATAAGGCCATCCATACTGTTTGCAGAGTCTTGGCGCATTAGTGTACTATTTAGGGTATTTGTGTATACATGTGTGCGTTTGATGTGGGGTCATTGTGTGGGCGGTCACCAGAGGTTTTGTAGCTGAAGCTGTGGGATGATGTTTTGAAGACTGAACAAGCGTAAAGTTTATCTTTAAAATAAAGTCTTCCAATGTCTAAACATTAGCTCCGGTTGTATGTCTTCCCCATCGGGGCCCCTGGATGAACACAAACATAAACACGCTCTGTCCCTCTACCTTGACCTCCCACTGTCGCACACACACACAAACACACACGTTTGTCCTGAAACACTTTCACTGAAGAACTTGTAAATACCAGTTGGGTAATGCTGATACAACTCAAAAGAACAATGTCTATTTTTTGTGGGGTTTCATAGCTGATGTGACTCATGACATCACAAACATGTTCCCCTTGTGAATGTTGTGTGCCAAAAGTCATGGCCATAAAGAGAAAAACACAAACAGCTATAGGCTTCAAAATGGAGTTCAACTGTACTGAGACATGGTTCACATCTTGATATCCAAAAATGTATATTAACATTCTCTCCATCTACTCGTTGCTGCATCCTGTCACAGACTTGATTTACTGCTTAACACTTTGTAAACATGAATACTGGGATATTAAACTGTTTCTTTTTAATAGTGACACAAGGTGCTAGACTAAATCCTGGTACTTCTATTGAAATAAACGTGGTTATAGCACATGGAAAATGCACATTTAAGCAAAGGGTAATGCTGTATTTTTATTCACAGGAAGTCTAAATTTGGAAATGTGAATGATGTCATACACAGTTTAGTTGCAAGCATTAGCTCAACTGTTTTGCCCAGTGACCACCAGGCTAACTATTATTACAATACAAATCAATAATCCATATTTCTCCGCATTTTATATAACGCAGTAGCAACGTGTTCACTAATACAGATGCAGGATCTGCACGGCTGATTGACAAAATGCATTTACATAAAACTACTGCAGCTAGCCTTTTGCAATTTTTGAGCGAGGCAGACATATTGGATTTATAGGCCATGAGATTGATATAAAAATATTTTTCACTTTAGGCAATATTGTAGCATATGTTCACTATTACAAATGCACAACTGTTTGTGCAATTGATTTCATCGCGGGTTAAGAGCTAGTAAACAGCCTACTTTTTTTGCTCATGGCAAAGATCGGTTATAAAAGTTGTGTTGATGACTTTACAAACCAGAACTCAAAGACATTCCAGTTGGTTTTTCCTGGTTTGTTGGGAATATGGAAATTCTGGTTTCCGGAGACTTAAAAAAAAAAAAAAACTGTTTGTCACTCACAACTCAAGGGTTCTATAAAACAGGTTTGCAGTTTCTGATGATGACACAAAAATAGGAATACTGAATCTAAACAACGCATTAGTAAGTGTTAACCATTTAAAAGCTTGCACATACATTCTTTTTAAACTATCCAACAAAGTTAAGTCAGGTCATCTGGATGTTTCTTTTTTTTTTTTTTGTTGTTGAGATGTTTCATCCTTCATCCAAAGGACTCCATCAGTCAGAAGACATGGAGTCACAACAAACTCAGTCCCACAAGCAGCACAGTCACATATTTGGGCCAACTAATTTGCTGGTGATAAGATGGTTTCTGTGGCCTGCCCTCTCCCCTGTCAACTCCTCTGAGGCAGCCAAAGTGGTTCAAAACATCAAAGTTCATGCGCAATAATCCAGGTAAAAAATCTAACAAAATTCAGTCAGGTCATCCGGACAGTTTCTTTTTTTTTGGAGACATTACATCCTTCATCCAAAGGACTTCATCAGTCCGAGGAGCCACAACAAACTCAGAGTCGACGGGGGAGAGGGGGAGACCCAGAAACCATCACCAGAAAACTGGTTAACCCACTATGTGAGTGTGCTGCTTGTGGGTCTGAGTTTGTTGTGGCTCATCGGACTGATGAAGTCCTTTGGATGAAGGACGAAACATCTCAACAACAAAACAAAAGAAACCATCCAGATGACCTGACTTGTTGGATTTTTTTAATCTAAACGACTGGTCTGGTTTGATACACAGTGAAACATGTTAATTAAATGTGATCTTACAGACATGAGCTTTAATAAGAGTTTGGAGGACATTTGTAATACACGCACTCCTCTCTACGTTCTTTACTGCACGTCTGCCTAAAAAGACCACTCCGAACCCTCAAACGCGCATGCGCGTCGGCTCGTGGGTTAATTACGGGCCGTTTCGCGCGGTTGACCTTCGAGCACCGCAGGGACAGACCGCACGGGGGGGATTTTATTTACTTTTAGCGCGTTATCCACGTCATCTTTAAGCTTCCCGTTCAACATGAATGAGTTGTTTCGCCTGCGATAAACTTTCAGCTCCAAGTGTGCTGCGCGTTCACGGAGCTGCGCTGTGATTGGTGGAGCGCTCCCTTCACTCCGGTGAACGCGCAGCGGGGTTTATATGCGAGCCGCTCATGTCGCTGGCACATTGTCCGGTAACACACTCCTTCTAATGCTGTAATTAACAATAATATATATATTTTAAAGTACTACATGAAGCTGAGCCGTCCTGAGAAAATGCCGGTGACTGTGTCTGTGGTGCTGCTGCTGCTGGCGTGTCATCAGGTGCTGGCTGTGGATCCGCATGATGTGCAGGAGAAACAAGGAGTGATGAAGAAACGCCTCTCGCTGCAGAGCACAGGTGAGTTCCTCTCCCAGAACAAGATGTTGCACACAGGTGCTCGTTCGTCTCATTGGAGGACGTGTGGCACGAAGCGTGATTTCCCTTGACAAGTGTTGGAATTGAATATTCTCCACTTTTACTGAGCCTCAGTGCAGACAGCTGAAAATGATAGGGCCCTCTCTGTTTACCCTCCTGACTCCATCCTGTTCCTCATCAGGTCACAGGGATGGTAAAGACCGGGCAGTGAAATGAGTCAGCCATGACTGGTTAAATATTAACTAAGACCCCCTCCCCCCCAACAAGTGGTGATCTGTTGAAGTGTTGAACTCAAGTGGCTCATTGTGAAAAGTCAGCATGAGACTTCTTTTTTCCATTGAAGTTTGAGCTCGCCTGTGTCGAAAAAAAAAAAATCAACTGAAACATGATCTAGATCTGGGCTATTCAATGGGCGGCCCGGGGGCCAAATCAGGCCCACGTGTGTGCTCAGTTCGGCCCACCATGGGTTCATTTTTAAATAAAACCAGCTTTTAAATCATAAAACAAACCTAACTGCTGGATGTATGGCCCCTGAGCTCTTGGCTTTCATCACCTGTGGCGCCCTGTGCAATTTAGTTGAATAGCCCTGATGTAGATTATTTCCTCTCGGTGTGAGATTATAGTCCAAACGCCCATTTAGAAGATGCTATTTTGTGTACTTTCAGCTGATATTCAGAGTTGCCTGGTGAGTTCAGATGACGTCGGATGTGGGATGTTCCAGTGCTTTAATAACAACTCCTGTGAGATCCACGGACTGCACCACATATGCCTCACGCTGCTGCACAACGCCGGACGCTACGACTCCCAGGTAAGAATCTGCACAATGATCTGACCCCCATCTTATACTTGCAGACACATAAGGACCGTTTATTTGTTCGCCATCATCATCATCGCCCCTCCCTCCTACACCCACTTGACAGACTGAAACCAAGTTCATCAGGAGCTTTAGGTGGGGTCGGAGAAGACATTTCTGGATACAAGTTTTTATTTCATTTAATCCCATCAGTCGTTCAGGCCATTTGTGAGGAATGTTAGTTGTATAAGGATCAGTATAGTTATGGGTGCCAGCATTGGTTACAGAACAATCTGAGAGGGGTTCTGAAATGAGAGAAGGAACAGTGTGTCCACATTACTAGAATAGAAAAGCACAAGAAAGTGATGCAGGTTTTCTATGTCCTCAGCGTGAACAGGGACAGTGGATGATGTCCTGCAAGGATTCACGAGGGGCTAGATTACTAGGAAACGTTAAACCCCATTGAGAATATCAAGAATTATCTATGACCTATATGTGATTTGATCTTCATTTAATACCAGAGGTTAAAAATGTACATTCATTATATAGTTGTTGCTTATTGTCTTTTTTTTTCCCAACATAAAGAAGAATCATTTCATGATCCAACCTGGATAAACCAAGAAAACTCTGTGCCAACATCTCCTGAAGGTGCATGGACTTCATGTACACCTGATGAGACAGTTTATGGATTACCTGTTGGATGGTGGTGGGAAAAAAGAAAAAAACAATTGTTGCCATAGAGTTAGTATCAGCTGCAAAAATAACACCTATAACACTGAGTAAAAAAAAAAAAAAAAAAATCAAGAACCCAAAGGTAAAAGCTAAAGACTTCCAAGAAGTTCCCCTTTTTCTCTTCGTGTACAAAGGACAAAACACTGCACAGTAAAACAAAAGTTTTATCCTAAAGCATCAATGGCGCTGATTTACAGTGTTGGACCCAGTCCACAGTGTGATTTGCTTGGAATAAGTTGATGATTCAACTACAACTTGTGTTTTATGCTGCGTTTTATTCAGGGCGAACTAAGTCGCACGAAGATTTGGCAATTGTTTTTACACCAGATGCCTTTCCTGACCAGTGTTGCCAGATCTCGTGATAGAAACAAGCAACCAGCTCTATGAAAACAAGCCCCAAAAAAGCCCAACTGGCAACCCACCATATTGTGTAAAACGGAGGCCGTTTTTTTTTAAAAACAGCATAAACATATATTTATTATGGCATTACACATAAACAACAGAAAAATTATGGTAAACACTTTGAATAACATACTTTTATTTTAAAAATCATATTTTTTCTACTTATTTTTAAAAACCAAACCTCCTGACATCTGCGTGTGAGTAGAGCCACCTAGTGGTCAGCCACAGTATCGGTGTTTGTTTGGTTGTGTGCCTGTCACTTCGCCAACTTGGGCAGGAGCCATAAACAGGAAACGGGGGCGTGGAAGGGACGAACTACCTACTACCACTCGTCTTTTGCTTTATTGTGCGGAGCTGGGAGATAATCAACTAGTTTCACTCGGAAAGAAAGTCCAGCCCAAATAAAAAACTTCACGTTCAAAACAAGCCCAAAAAATCGCAACTTACGACTCACAAGATTTACAAGTGACTTTAGAAAAAAACACGCACAAAGTTGCTATCTAGGGCACCCAGGAGAGCAGATGGTGGGGGTTAAGGGCCTTGCTCAAGAGCACAGAGTGGGGCAAATGATGGTAGAAGCAGGTGTGGGAGTTTCACCTATCCCACCCACATTTTCATGTTGCCGGTATGGGAAGTTGAGCCGGCAAACTTCTGATCACAGACCCACCTTCTCTAACCTCTGCGCCACCACTTCCCTTGTTTTATTACACATATAGTAATGGTAAAAAAACAACTGAAATTTGTTTTGTTAAATATGTCACACTGCTTTACAATACCTTTTGCAAACTTAAAGCTGCTGTTTTCAACCAGCACTGAAAAGAGACAGAATGACTAAATCTGCAGGTAATCAGAAAAGCACAACTCAAAGACTGCATGTCCACTTCCTCTGTGCAAAAACAATGAACAAAGTCACAAATGACGCTAAATTAGTCTCCTCCTCGTTTCAGGGCAAATCCTTTGTGAAGGATGCGCTGCGGTGCATGGCCCTGGGACTGCGGCAGCGCTTCAGCTGCGTGAGCCGGCGGTGCTCTGCGGTAAAAGAGATGGTGTTTTCCCTCCAGAGAGAGTGCTATTCCAAACACAATCTCTGCCTAGCTCTGCAGGACCACATGGACACCATGGGGAACCTGGTCCAGTTCCACCTGATGTTTCCCACGGGGTGAGAAATGTGCATGCATAAACAAATTAACATGTAAAAAGCAGAAGAGAGGCAAACAACCGAAGGTATTTTTCTGTATCTTTTAGAAGAAAGTTTTTAAAGAATGTCATAGTTTGATTTTTAGGAACTAAAGACTTTTCCCGCTGTGAGGTGGCAGTGCTAGGGGTTGAACGACTACTTAATTTTTAAACTCGTCATTAACATAATAAAACTCGAGTAGAACTCGAGTAGTTGATGACGTCATTGGATCTCAAGATGCAAAAGTAAATAAATAAATAAAACCGCCAAAAAAAGTCATTTACAAAAAAATAAAACATTGGGAGCATATATTATACTCCTACCATTTATCATACTGCAAGTAAATCACAGGAAAACCAAAACTATAAGTTATTATTATTAAGCTGCAAAAGTGAAAGAAACATGTGGCACGTAAAAAATAAAACTAAAAACAGTGGGGCGGGCGACCACCCCGCACCACCACCCGCTGCGCATTAGGTTTAATTTTAGAGATTAATATATTTATAGTTTTTTTTTTTTTTATAGGTTTAGAGATTGATATTTTTTGCTTTTTGTTTGTGAAACAGGGTCAGAGGAAGCTGGTTCTGGTTCGGTGGCTTGGACCCGGTGTTACAACATATTCTGTGACCTGCAACAGTGCATGCAACACCGCCCCCTACGGTCACAATATACGGTGATCACTGAATATGGTGTAACACCGGTTTGCAACAACCTCCAAAACAGTCAGGAAGTTGATTAATTTTCTGTTTCCTTACGATAGTTGAACTGGAAGATTAATCTTTAGTGAAATATTTCCATACTATTGATGCATTTCTACCTGTTTGCCAAGACTGGGCCTGCTCCGCTCCATCTGTCTGCTTGGAGGAATCCATTTTGTAGCCCGCGCGTTAGAGGCCGACCGATATGAAAATTTTGGCTATCATCACTACCGAGATTGGGAGGGGATGCTAATTAAGATAACCGATATGACTGAAACATTTTCGGCTTTGTCCACCGCCAAGAATATAATTAAACAGCTACTTTTAAACCTGTTTTAACACTTGAAGTCTTGAACCAGTCTTCCTAATGTGCATTCACATTTCCTATCCTCCACTATCCACCATAAAGTTATCAAGTGTGTTACAAAAATATAAATTAAACAAAGAAACGCACTTCCCTGTTCATTGTTTAAACAGTCAGTCAAGTACAGGGAAGGCCTAATTAGTATTTACCTCAGTTGCGTTTTTTTTGTTTTCCAGAGAAGTAAAGATTTCAGACAATGCATTTCACTGAGGACAACAAAGATAACATTACTAACACTGATATATATTTACTGCTACATTAGATTTATTGTTCTGCCCAAAGTTTTACAAAGCAATAGCCTATGCTAGGTTGTCTAAATGTGAGCTTGCTAACTTGAGAGGTTCTTCTAATGACAAGTGGGTTGGAGGGTTGAAGAAAATTTATTATTGGTGTTTTTTCTTTCATTTAACAGATCAGTTACAATAAACTTACCATGCTCTGTTCAACAAAATATGCTACACAGTATTGCTCCCTGCTTCGGCTGTGCTGAAAGTGAAAGTTAATGTGAATGGGCATGACTTGAAAGTAGACAACATGCGCCCTCTGCTGGATACATTGTAAATTACGCCTTCCGCCAGTAAGGGCACAGCTCGTTCCTAGTGTTTATATCGCACATTATGGGCCAATAATCACTGATGCCAATAGGTCCCCAAACACCTGTATCAGCTCTACCAAGATATCAGTCAGGCTGTACTCCTAACATCTGAAAGACCTGGATTCAAATCATGACCAGGACTTTTCTTTGTGGAGTTTGTATGTTCCTCCCGTTCAAACCTGCGTGGGGTTTTCTCCAGATGTGTGGTTTCCTCCAAAAACAAGCATCTTAGAAAAAAAAAAAACATCACTGCTGTCAAAATACACAAATTTTCAGTGTTTTTGATCTGATGTTTTATGCCAAACACAATTTCTACATCATTAAATGATTGTTTTGTGGGCGCTTGGAACTGACTCATCAGGGTTTTTGTAAAAATTGCGTCATAAAACAGCAAATAATCTTCGCCTTTGTTCCCAAATAAATTGTTTCAATTTGTTTGTCTAAGCCTCAAATGTTGCTTTACAGTTCTCGGTGCTCGCTGTCAAACGACTCTACGTCTGTCGACTCTTGTCCTGACAACTTTTAGTCTGTGTTACTTTTTAGAAGTGAAGAGCTTCACTTCTTCACGTTTGACCTAGTCTTTGATTCAACTGTTCTTCCTCTGACTCAGTTTACGTGCATGGATTTTTTTTTTACCGACCGTATCTGTCACATGCCAAAACTGTCCCAGTGTGCTCACCAATGTTTGAATGTAAAAAAAAAAGGGCTCTAGAGTTGTTGACAACAAAACATGTCTGCTGATTGTGCTATTTTATTACAAATTATGTTGCGATAAACAATAAATCAATTAATCGCATGATAAATGAAAATGATCAACCTCATTTTCATTTATCGGCTTTATTGTTTCTTCGTTTCTCTCTTTCTACTGAAGACACTGGATGACAAAAAGCTCAACTCTGGCGTTCTTCAATGACCCACCCCTTTCTCTTTTCTCTTTAAAATCCTTTTTAAAATCATGTTTTTGGATTGTTAAAAGCAGCTAAGCCCAGAAGCTAAGCTGCGAGCTAAGCTAACAGACCGACTTCAGGGAAAAAACCTCCATCGTATCGAAGCTGCAAAATTCTCTGTTTAAACCTGTGCCTTTGTGTAAATAGTTGTTTATCTCTGCAAAAAGAAGCCGAGAACTTGTTTCTTGATTTTTTTTTTTTTTTTTTTTTTTTAATTAAAAGCTTTGTGTGAAAAATGCTATGCTAAAAAGCGCAAACCACACCGAGCATCTGCCATTTCGAGAACCGGAAAAAAAAAAGGAAGGAGAGACGGCTCATGTCACGTCAAGGTGCCTCCCTCCCATTTTTCTTATAAAGACATGCTGCTCGCTCACTATCCATCCTTCGGTTCAAACTGTCTTATGCTGCCATCCAATGGTCCAAAAAGGTACTACACTCAAAACAAATTCACCAACATTTCTTCTTAAATTTGACAATTACTGTCAAATTTCAAACAATATTATCGTTTATCGCAATAATTTCTGAGACAATTAATCGCCCACCAAAATTTATGATCGTGACAGGCCTAATTATGTGTTAGATTTTTGGTCGTGAATGATGTGCATTTAGTGCTTTTTTTTCATGATACTCGTGTACAAAAAAAATTTAATAAAACTTTTTGAAAAACTGTGTATTCTGACAGCTATTCTAGCTTTTAATTTTAAAAATTCAACGCTTATATGAAAAACCCCCAACTATTTTTAAAAAACACAAGACTGTTCGCAAATCACTGTGTTATGCTTTTATTAGTAGTCGAGGTGTTGCAGCCTTTTCTGGCAACAGGGTCATGTGACTTTCAGTGCTGTGAAAAAGGCCTTTTTATAACTCTAACTCAAATCACCTCAGTGAATCTCTGTTCGCCCCCCCCCCCCCCCACCCTTCTTCCACCTCAGGCCATATGTGGAACTGATGAATTTCCTGTTGAAGTGCGGAGACGAGATCAGGGCGTGGGTTGGACGGCAGCTGCAGGGGCAGTGCAAGCAACACTGGGGGGCGCTCTGTGGCAGCTTCGCCAACATCTGCCCCCTCAACCAATCAGATGATCCGGATGACACCACTCCACCACCTGCTGTGGCCGGGCATGTCACAGCTGCAAAGCCAACCGGAGAAGCCGAGCTGGAGACCAAGAGGCCGGTCAGGTTGACGGACAGCACCGCTGATGTTAGCTTCTCCGTTTCTGAGCATCCTTTCATCTCAGATTCATAGAGAGGCGTTACAAAGAGGGTACACAAACACGATGTGCTTATTAGCAGCAACATGAGTAGAAGTTGTAGACGTGGATTTGGAGTGATGCAAGTGAAAGCAATGCAGCATAATTTATTCAGTTTGTGGGTTTTTCTTCTACTCACCTTTTCTCTGAACATAGTTTGTACGAGGATAAAAACCAGCCACCTACCTCACATTAAGCATAAAGTACCACATCGAGTGAGATCCACAAACCAACACTACAGAAACTTTTATAGCTCCAGTGCAGCTGATGGCTGAGTTAGCATCCTGCCTATTCAAGTCTGTTTTTGTATTTATGAGCATTGTTTTATTGCGTGCCGTACAGTAATGTGATGAGCTACAGACGGCTGTGGTGCAGTCTGCAGGAAGCATTGTTTGGTCGTGTTTTATAGATTTTAAGCATTTTTATATCACAACTCAGACTTTAATCTTAAAACTACATTGAAAGTTATAAACTAAAATCAACTTGTTGAAGACTGTAACATCTATTCATTTAGTTTTGTTAAAGTTTCTTAATGCACGGCACAATATGTTGTAAATATTAAACTTTTATCAAAATCCTTGTTTGTCATTCAGTTTGGGTTAACGTTACACGCTCCCCCGTCTGTTCTCGGTTTGAGCAGTGGGATCTTGCTGTTGGAGGCTATGGAAAAGTTTTATGCAGACATTTTTTGACCAATAGGAAGAGAAGAACAAGAGGAGTGTAGTTTAGTGGCGGTCTCTTCGGTCCTTTCACTTTTGCATCAGCTGCTTTTTTTCCTACAGCAGAGGATGGAGGAGCAACATCACGTCCTGTCAGCATATGAAGGCACACTAAAGGTGCATCTCAAAAAAAATGTCAATATTGTGAAAAAGTTCCAATTTCTTTTTGTACATAATTTCAGAAAGTGAAAGTCCTTTATAATATAGATTCATTGCGCACAGTGTGAAACATTTCAAGCCTTTACATCTTGTAATTTTGATGATTATGGCTTACAAGTAATGAAAAAACTAAATTCAGTGTCTCAGAAAATTAGAGTATTCCACAGCCAGCTTTTGGTACATTTGTTAGTGTGGGCAGGAGACAAGTCCTGCTGAAAAACGAAATCAGCAGCTACATAAAGCTCACCAGCAAAAGGAAGTGTGAAGTCTTTGAAACATCCTGGTAGATGCTGCGTTGACTGGATTTCAGAAAACACAGTGGACCAACACCAGCAGACATGACCAAACTGACTGGAAACTTCACACTGGACTTCAAGCAACGTGGATTCTGTTCCTCTCCACTCTTTCTCCAGATTCTGGGACCTTAATTTCCAAATGACATGAAAATTTACTTTAATCTGGAAAAGACATTGGACCACTGAGCAACAGTCCAGTTGTCTCCTCAGCAGGTAAGATGCTTCTGACGTCTCTGGTTCAGGCGTGGCTCGACTTGAGGAATGAGACATTTGTAGCTCATGTCTAGTAATTAATCAGCTGATTATGCTGTGACACCAGGAGTTTACAACACTGAACCTCTTCACATTATTCTAATTTTCTGAGAGACTGAATTTTGGTTTTTCATTACTTTTAAGCCATAATCATCAAAATAATAAGAAAAGGCTGGAAATATTCTGCGCTGTTTCTTTCAGAAATGATTGACAAAAAAAAATAAAAATTTTCCACATTTTAACTCATCAAGATGCACATATACTTGAAGATTTAATCACTTGATAGAAGCTTTCCACCTGTTTTCTTGCTTCAATTCCTAACTTTTCTCTTTGACAAGTTCATTTGATTAACATGAAGTAATTAGGTCAAGGTTTCTTTATTGTCATTTGCATCATATGTGGCACAGGCACATTAACATCTGTAACAGTAGCATCTTTGTAACAGTCATCCAGAGCACACAGTTTCTCTCCTGAACACAACTTGTTGCATATTGTGGCTGGGAAATCTTTGGTTATGGCTTAAAGTGCTTTTTCAAAATTTACAAGTATAAGTTGGCAGCATTTCAGCTAAACCTGTATCAAAGTTGCATTTCGTTTTTTAAAAATGCCTAGAGACATATCTAAATGCTTATACCACAAATCCAGTTTTTCAAATGATTAGAAGCTACAATCATTGAAAAGTTAGTTTAAGGAGGATCAGGCTCACCTCGTGAGCTGAAGAATTCCTGAATATTTCAAGCTGAAAAATAAATCAGCTTTTTTTTTTTTTTTTTTGCAAAATATACAAGTGGAAATATTTTCACCACCTCCTTTTAGAACAGTCCAGTCTTGCTTCTCTTATGAGCTAAAACAGAACTCAGCTGGAGCTCTAAATGAAGGGGAAGAGGCGCTTCTTGAGGATGTAGAGGACCGTGGCAAAGAAGAGGGCAAAAGCCAGGAAGATAAGCAGCTTGTCTGTCAACTCCCTCCGGTTGTACTTTAGGATCAGCTTCCTGCCTAGGTGGATGGTTCCCTTCATGTTTTTGAACTCCTCGTTGGTTTCATGCACCGTTCTCGAGGAGGTGGCTACAGTGGAGGAGGGAAGAATTTGGTGGAGAAGAGATTAGAAGACACACTAGATTATTTTAAGGCACACAAACACACAAAAAAGTGGTTATACTTTTAGGCTTCTTTACCTAAAGTACCAATGGTGTCTTCAGTCTGCTTCACTTGTTGAGACATCATCCTGCTGATGGACATCAGGGACTCTGTGAAGTTGCTGCTTGTTTCCACTACGCTTTCTTTTGTTGCCCTCCTGAGATGAACACACACAGCAGAGGATGAAGTCTGTAAGAAAACTAAAAACTACCTGTACAACCGTTTTACGATTTTATTTTTACATGAATGTTGAAGTCCAAAATAATTCTCATTAGGTAGTTTGTAATTTTGTTCGATAAGTAAAGATACTGCTGAAAGCTTCAGATTAGTTTTATATATTTTTTAAAGACTTTAATATGCTTAAATTGTTCAACTTTAATTTTAAATAGTAAAAAATAACCATTTAAGAGGTAAAAGGTGAACTGTACTTACCTCGGACTGGTACTCTGGTTTTCTCCACCGTGCAGCAGCTCGTCCTTTTCCATGTTGTCTATAGCGAGTTTACAAGCCAAGTTAGCTTTCCTCCACGCTGTCTGGTTACTGGAATCCACAGAAACCAACTTACAGATCTGCTCTTTATTTATTTTTGTTTTGTGTTATTTGATGAGAAGCATTTGTTGAGTAGCTGCTTTCATTATGCACCTAATATTTCTAAGATAATTAGAATTACAACATTTATTCTTAAATCTCATTTTTTTCTCTAAAATTGCATGTTATGTGTTGTGGCAGCAATCATTTATAAAGCAGCTTAAGACACTTTTATTCAGACAAGCTTTTAGTGAAATGTTTTACTTGGTTTTTATCAGCTGTTATTGTTTTTGTTTTATTTTAAGCCTGTATTTCTGTAAAGCACTTTGTGATTTTATCTATGAAAAATGCTATATAAATAAAGTTTACATACCTATTTACTTACTTATTAGCATATAAGCTTGTATACATAACATACTACCGGTACTTAAAAACCACTGTGTTTGGGATAATGCAATTAAAGCAAAAAAAAATAAAAATAAAAATGTGTTCAAACACCTGAGCATTTGGTGTTTCTGGCTTTCTGTTTCTGCGAGGATAGCCAGTCTGGTCAACTCTTCGTCCTGCTCTTGGGCCATCTGCTCCAGATCCTGGTGACATCACAGGTCACACTTCCAGTTTAACTAAGACATTTCACTCCAGTTTGCATGTGTGGCAAAGACCTGACCTGTATCCTGAGCCTCAGCTTGATGAATTTCTCTTTGACCTGAGAGTTGAGCTTTGTGAGCACAGGCTGAGGTCCATGACAATCCCTGATGTCCTACAGATCCCACACAAACAAGGATTAAATACTTTGAATCAAAAAGACCTAAACATAACTATACAGTTTGTTGCACATTTTTAGTTTACTGAATGTAACAACATAACTAGTTTGTTACCTACAAAATCTACACATGAGTATAAAACTAACTGTAAATTTCACCTCAAAATAAGCTTTAACAGTACTTCTTTATACAGAACTACCTTTTTAATCAGAAATGATCAGTGAAATCTTGAGCATTTTATTTTATCTTCCAAAAACTCACTTTCTTGAGATAATCTAAACTGTTCCTTGGAGCAATTTCTTCAGGTTTTTCATCTTTTTAATTGAGTGGCTGTTTTTAAACTTATTTTCAGTGCAGTTCCTTGAATCCAGTAATGGTCAGTCAGGTCATCTGGACAGTTGTTTTTTTTTTTTTTTTTTTTGTGGAAAGACGTTTTGCCCTCTATCCAGAAGGCTTCATCAGTCTGAGAAGTCCCAAGTAAACTGTTTTTCCCACTAAGCAGTACACTCCTTTAGTGGACCAACCAGTATCACTTAGTGGGAAAAACATTTTACTTGGGACTCCTCAGACTGATGAACCCCTCTAGATAGAGGGTGAAACGTCTTTCCACGAAAAAGAAACTGTCCAGATGACCTGACTGACCATTATTGGATTTTGTACCTGGATGATTGTGCATGAACTTTGATAGATGAAGCTTTTGTCCTTGGGTACTCATGTCCCAGGAGAAATTGATAATCGGCCTGTCTCCGAGGAGGTCGTCGGGAGTCAGATTTAGATAAACTTGATTCTTGTTTTTTTCTTCAGGCAGACAGATTACTTTTTCTTCAGCTTCGAGTCCATCTGGGCGTTCTGGTTCCGAAAATGCCTAATTGTGCTGTGTTCAGCTCAGTCTTATAAATAGCACCTTCTCATACTGGATCATCCAGTTTCTTGTTGACTAAACTAGCTGTTCACATGATCAAGTTGTTCAGCTCCTCAGACTGAAGGTCTTTCGGATGAAAGTCGAAACGTTTCTACAATCGTTTTGTTTTTTAACCCGTCCAGAGGACCTGACTTAACTTTTTTGGAGTTTACATGGGAATCCTCAGAATGATGAAGCCCTCCGGAGAGAGGGCAAAACATCTTTCCACAAAAAATAAACTGTCCAGATTGACGATTATTGGATTTTGTACCTGGATAATTGAGCATGAACTTCAGTTCCTTTAAAGTTTTAAGTGTTTTTATATTAAGCCTACATTTAAACTCACCAGTTAGAGAAAAACAATCGTTTTCTTCAGCGACAAATATTCCAGCAATAACAAAGTTTCTATTTAAGTTCTTATTATTTCATTGGCGGCTTAAAAAATGTGTTTTTAAACTCAAAAACGATTCTGCATTTCTCTCGTTGCTAAGCTAACTTTTAGCTTCAAGCTATCCGAGCTTTCAAACCGAATGTTTTGCTTCTGCATCAACGCGAGTCCATGATAAGTTACATTTAAAATGTTTATATTCTTACCTGGATGAGAGCTTTTATTTCCAGATCATATTTGACCATTTCTTGCCCGCAAATTCGAGCGTTAACGTCCGTCCAGGACGCCATTATTGTTTTGGTTACGGCAAGCCGCAGGCTCAAAATACAAAGAAAAACGCAAAGCTGTTGATGCTGAGGGCTGACTGGACTTCTTCTTTATCCTGTTAAAACTCAATTATCACGTTAAAATTAAAGATCTAATCTCAAAGGGGAGTAAAAATTAATCTCATGTGGTTACATAATTTAAATTAATTTTGAATACAGCTTTTATTTTTATCAAAACAGTTGATGAGGAAATTAGATGTTTAAATAAAAAATGTATTAAAATATGAGCATAGTTGTGGTTCCTTAAATTGCTGCCTGTAAACTTGACACTTTTGCAGAAAGTCTATATAAAAATGACAGCAGTGTAATAATTTGATTCAATAAATTATTTAGGTTTACATAAAAAATTATATTGCCATTTTAAATGCTCCTAAATTGTGATAAGGCTGCAAATATAATTTAAACAAAATGTGTTCTTCTAACTCAAAATATTGTTTGTGCAATTCAGTTCAGACAGAGCAAATGTGTTCAGTTAACCTTTCCAGCAAAACAGACAAGAAAACTAAAAAGGATCTCCCGTTTTTCTCTTTGACAGCTTTTAACCATTTTCACTCCATTTCCTGTATAAAATCCCTTTCACACACTTGGTCATTTAAAAAAATTTTTTTTTATATTTACTTGTTCATTTCTAATCTAAACATTTCTAAACTGTGGGCGTTTCTTCTTTTAAAAAGCCATTCAAGTGACGAACCAGCAGCATTAAGTCAAACATAATGGGCAGTTTATATTTCCAGGCACTTCTCTAGCAACCCGTTGCAAAAACTGTTTATTCAGATTTTGTTTTTCATTCTTAGTTAAATATAAATGAACGATTGTTTAGAACTCTATATAAAGAATTAGAAATGGCTTCAACATGAACGAGTAAAAAAATGTTACCAAAATGTTAATCTAGTTTGAAGTAAAATTAAAAAAAATAGGTGAAAACTCAGCAAATTGTTAGAAATCAAAGCAGAGAAACTTTGTATAGTTGTTCATAAGTTAGAAAGTCATTTCAAATAAATGAGATATTCTAAATATCTTTCTAGGATGCACTGTATTGTATGTTCCAATACATATTGAACATTATTATTGATATTGTTTATCATATCTATCTATATCTATCTATATAATTATTATATATATTATTATATTTAAATATATATATATATTTTTAATAAACATTTTATAAACTTTTTGTGTGAATCTTTTTATCTGTTGCTGCTGTTACACTTGAATTTCCCATCCAGTGAGACAATAAAATCTGTTTCTATTCTATTCTAAAATGTCAAGTAAATTTATTTTTATATATATTTTTACATTTACTGTAAACAGCATAATTATAATTATCAAACGTTCAAATTCATACCATACGTGACTAGAAATGTTTAAAATTCAAATCATGAAAACAAACAAACAAAAAAAAATGGATCCAAATCCTTAAGTGAATGAAACGACACGGAGTGCGGTGCTAATGGTTTTATTATTTTGATAATAAAATCAATAAACATAATCAGACTAATGTGGTTACAAGCAGAGCTGCAGTACCAACACCCGGCTGATACAAGATAAGATGATTTGACAAAATATTAGAAAAACAAACAAAAAAAAAACCACAACAGATTCAGGGCAGGGCGCCCACAGGATTTTGAGCAGCCAGAGACAAGAAAACTAAAATAAACTGAAACAGAACTGGGCCTTTACAGTACAAACAAGAAAAATGCCTTTTACATTTCAACGCCTGTGCATAAAACCAACTGTGCCTTAGAGGGAAAAAAAAGACAATGTTAAAGAAAATGTCAAAACAAAAGTATAAACCCAGCACAACATTTATTATACAACATAAATATAACACATCAAGATATTGTATTTTGAACAGGCATATATGTGAACTACAAATATAGACGTCGTTGCTAAAGAGAGGATCGAGTTCGTTTCAGCAGGATACTCTTTCTGTAGGTTGATGAAATTAAGTCACCAAGAGATCTATTGTAGAGCAGTTAAGTACAGCCTTCCTAATGAGACCGGGAAGAGGAACACACACACAGGACTAACTACAGAAAGATCCCATGCTGTCGATCAAATCGAACGTCACCATACAAGACCAGAAGCATCGTAACAATGGCGTGTAGCCGTGGAGCTCAGGATGACGATACCTCCTACAGCCTGGGCTTGTATGGGTTTCCTATAAAATCGTCCCATCAAGAAATTATAGCATCAGAGAAAAGAGACGGAACGATGAACTTAAACGTCTCTTTTCCCGTGCGTTATTTGGCGAGTCTGGAAGGAGATGTAAATCACTGCTGTGTTGAATGATGAGTTGGACCTGTGCACAAACCGTAAGTTTTTTTTTTTTTATTATTATTATTGTGGGGTGAGTTGTTTGTTTAGTAAAATCAGTCTACAGAAGAGGAAATGAATCCCTCTCCCATCATTCACTGCAGGAGAGGGTGAGGGGGGGTCTCTGCCCACCAGCCCTTTAATGACCCCTGTCTAAACTCTGGGGCTCTCAGAAGAGACAGCTGCAAACCAAAGCACTTCTTCAAAATAAAGGAAGAAAAAGGCATACAAATTAAAAGCTTGTTTCAAAAGCAAACAAGGGGTGGAAATCTCTGGTGCACAAGTGAAGTTTTTCCACAAAACTCACTACGTTTCTCCACGGACACTCAAGACAACAAGTTGGTCGACTTCTAACTTGAGCTAAGGCTGCGAAGCACCAAACTTCAGTCCAAAGTCGCAAGAAAGAGTCGTGTCAAGGCGAGGTTCTGTTCAGTGATTCAAAAGGTTTTAGGCTTCTGATCACATGGAACACTTGAAAGAGCCTCACAAACGGCGAACTAATCGAACTCACAATGAAATCCTGTCTCCGCTTTTAAAAAGTACACCGAGGTGAAATTTTGCATATCTGCAAATATGTGGATAAACAAATGGGGGAGGACGGATTGAAGTTATAACCAAGTTCAAAGATGCTTTAAGGCTTTGTTGTGATAACCAAAAGTTAATTTTTTTTTTAAGAGTTTAATCAATGCGAGGGGACTTTTCCAGAAATATTTGAGTATAACTACATGAAAATGAACAAATTAGATCACTGGAGTCTGCCTGCAGCCTCACAGCAAGAGTCACTTCTAGGAAATACTTGGACCCAAAGTTATTTTTGAACAAACTGAATAATATGAAATGCTTAGAGTGAGTTCATCTAAAGAGACAGTATCTGCTGAGCTTTTATCAAAGAAAACAATTGAGTTATAGGTAGATTTCTGCTAATTAATTAGTACCAAACAGCTGCAAAGGATACAGAGAAATGTTGGTATTAAAGTCGTTTTGGTGTCATTGTGAATTTGATTTGGCTCCGTGAAGCTCCCGACACGTCTCTGACTTGTGGGGCGCCTTATTCAATGGAAAAGCTTTAGTCTACATCAATGGTCTCCTTGCATTTAAAATTACTGGACTTCATAAATAAATACACAAAACATTTGGAACACTGGGATTAAAGAAAATGGCAAAACATAATTTAGGGAGGAAAAAAAAACATCGTAAACGTGCAACTTCTGACGGTTAAGAGCATCAATCTCAGAGCATATTAAATAAAAAAAATAAAGAAGTTCAAACACAAAAGCAAAAGGTGGCCACTTAAAAGATACGACATTCAAGATCTTTCTCTCCTGATGACCAGAGTCTCCCTGTGAGCTTCCGAGCAAACGGACGCTCCGTGTGATCCTGCTGAGGAAGACTAGTCTACATTCATGGGCAAAAGCAGCAGAGTTATACCTCGCTATGTCGGCACACAGCAGTGCAGCAGTCAGAAAAAACACAAGTCATCCAACAGAAGGAGTAATATGGCTAACAATTCAAAACACAGCCATGTTCCTGTAGCACCCAGCCACGGACAGAGTAGCACCACGGTTTGCCTCCACGCTCAGTTCGTCGCGTCATCCACGAACCTGCGCCTCAGTGCCGGCACTGACTTCACGGAGGGGCTGGCACTTCTTTATAGGAAAGTTAAAAAAACGGAATTCTTTTTGTTTGTTTGTTTGTTTGTTTTTCTCCATCGCAACAAGATCTCAGGAGGCAGCGACACAGTGCTCCGTGTCAACGCCTCAGAAGAACGTGTGGTTATTGAGCGGGTAAAAAGCGAGTGTCCCCTCTGTCTCGGACACAGTGGAAATTGATTCTTCTCTACGCAGACACACCAGCGGTGATAGCAGCAGCCAATACAGAAAACACAATAACGTGGCTTAGTGGGCAGAGAAATTGACAAAACTGGAACCAGGTTTCCCAAAACGGCATTAATTGTCCATTGTAATACTAAAGGGTAACCCTACATGAGTTTTGTACTTTCCAGCCATGACGAACAGCTCCCGTGTGCTGTAATAAGTTGAATTTTATACAAAAAGTGTAGGTTTAGATAATTGTACTTCAACTTTTAAGTTTTGGAAAACCCAGTTCTTTTGTTTCTGCAGGGAAATCCCCTCCAGACTGAAATAAATAAATAAAATGCAGATTTGTGTTTTTGTATAAGTGATTAAGGCACCTGGTTCATCAGGCATCGCAATTCAAAATATATATATATATATATTTTTTCTTGTTAGGTGTAAAAACCAAGTGCAAGGTGAGCAATGCTGTTGGTCTGACGGTCATATAGGGTATGGAAAAGAAAAAGAAAAAACAAGAGTCAATATATTGTAAATGTGGACACCCTTAAAACAAAATGAAAATCTGAAGTCTCTTTGTGCTCATTCGATAGCAGCAAGTATGAAATCATACACGTGAGAGTACAGAGAGCCCCAAAAGCCATGCAACAAATTTGTGACACTGAAAATCTTAACGTGACGTCCAAATTATTTCACACTTAACTTGATTCTCACAGCGCTGTGCAGAGGGATCGGCATGCAGAGGCGTTTATTTCTGCTGCATTGTCATTTGGGGTAAAATAAGGACAGCAGCCTCTAAAAGATGAGGCGTTTTTACAATCGAGGGTACAAACACGACAGGAAAAACATTTGAAACGATACAAACGAAACCAGAAGCCAGACTCTTGTTGATTTTTGACAACACAGCCAGCAAGAGGCTTTCACAAATCTTGTTCTTTTTAAAGATATTCAGGAAAACTGAAAGAAAATTCCTAGAAAGTATGCAAAATATTCTAATTTTATGAGAAAACAATGCAACAATTGCACTCGCAATGCTAAAACGGTAATGAGGCAACTGCACAGCCGAACTATAATTTGTGTTTTCAGCTTCTACGACTCTGGCTCGTGCTGTCAAATCCAGGAGATTGACCTTTACAAACATCTGCCATACAAATTGGTAATGATCACCATCCTCTTGTTGTTTTGGACAAGAGTCTACGTAAATCCTCCTCCGACTGGTCCAACGTTAAATTAAGCTGTGAACAGAAAGTCCCGACTGGTGAAAAGGATCTGGGGAGGGGACGATAAAAACAGAATGAGCACCATGTGACAAACCCCGTCCCAGCTGGACATCAGAGTCAAATCCTTCATGAAGGGAAAACGTTGCAGATTTTTCCGTTTGGGAATTCTTGTCGAAAAGTCTGTTGGCCTTTATTTCTTACTGTGTATTGAGAATTGCACCATAGTGATTGACATTAATAATTCAGAACACACAGACAGACAATATTGGTTTTTGTACAGAGTAAAGAATGGCGACGATAACTGGAATACATAAATATATAATCTTTAGATTTTATACGTCATCACATGTCAAATAGAAGAACAATATTACCCTGATTTGCTGAAGAAGAGCTTTATGGATCCACTTAGCTTTTATTGGATAAGAGTAGCACAAAGTTACACACTCTATTAGCTTAATAGTTTACTGTATAGGATTTTTTTCCTTTGTCAGAAATAAAAATAATAAGGAATTGTTTTTTTTGTTTGTTTCGTTTTTCTTTTTTTTTTTCTTCCTTAAACTGGTGTGGATTTTCACTCATTTCCTTGACAGTAAAATGCCACAGAGTCTCCTAGTTTGAATGTAAAGTTGCACAGCTCGCGCCTATCCAGTAAAAACCTGCGAGGACTCTTTCCTAAAAACAGCCTCGTGGATCGACAGCAAAACGCAACGCGCAGGCCTCGTTTGTCAGCCGGCTGTCAACCAGCGACCCTTTAACCACTGTTGACCCCCTACCAGACCTGGTTTCAAATCATAGCCGAAAAAAAAGAAAAGAAAAAAGCTTCAAATATCATCGTAAAGACACTAATGCTCGAGTGGTTCAGACTTTTGAAGCCATTTTTCAGATACGGTTCACCACCATGTCTGCTACTTCAGTCAAGGTTGATTTGAGCCAATCAGGCTTTTGTTGTTGTTGTTGTTTACCAGACTGGCAGGACAATGTCATAAACCACAGCTACAAACACGTCTGCCATGTTATTTTGATTTGTGTGTGAAGTTATTTCAGAAGGCAATAAGTGTCCGGATTGAGTCTTTGTAAATTGGCTTGCCATACAGTACAGTGATATAGTAACTTCCCCCTAAGGCGGTCAGGAAAATCATCTTTCAAACAAGCTCTTCCTGGCCGCCCAAGGCTAAAACCGCTCCTCTTTAAGTCACAAGTAGAAATCAGTTTACAAATGATAACAATATAGCTCTCTGGAGAAATGTGTCTACACTGTACATCACCCTGAAGAGGAAGCCAAAGCAGAATCAGTTTTTCCATAGGAAACCTCTACTGAAGGCAAATGAATCATGACGCCAAGGGGGTCAGCATCAGAAACAATGTAGGGGCCCTGGAATCAAAACCCTCTTTTTTTTCTTTTTTTGTTTTGTTTTGTTTTAAAACCACAAACATACCATCACACCCTGCCCAGGAAATAGACCTATCCCATCTGGGCTTCCTAAAGCCAAGCAATGATACGTTCTCACATAATAGCTCGTATCATTTCATGGCTCCAAAAGTGTGCAGAGCTAAACCCCCTCCATCAGGCCACGCACACGTGCTCCTTTGCTAGCTCATAGACCTAGCCATATCAGGTGATAGACTTATCCAAGCAAGTAGTCGTCAAGTACACTTGCAGCATTCACTCGAGGCCATTTAGCAGCAAATGGAAGGAAAAAAATTTTTTTTTTTTGTATTTTCTTTCTTTTTTGGACAAAGTGCTGTTCTTAAACATATAAGACAGATTAATCTATACACATATCTAACACTTAGAAGTTACATATTAACTCAGTTTATTTACAAAAATGTTCCACTACTAAGAAAATAACTATGTGGACGGTAGGAGAGAGCAAGTCATCAGGCTACAACTAGTCAAAGAAACATTAATCGGGATACTTGTCATTCTAGTTTCAGAAAAGCACCATTTATCCCTTTTTTTTTTGGTGACGGAAAACGTGTAAATATCTGCAACTCCACTACACAAGACAGACCAGCACCTCACAGTCATTAGATACTGCTCTATGAAGGAGAACGCTCATTGCTTCAAACTGTCCAGAAATTCGAAATCTTAAATTTGATTATACGTGTTGATTAGTCTTGTTTTTTTTTTAAGAACAGGAAGTCTTGTTTGAGGAGCAACAGGGAGACAGTCCATTTGGGTATTTTTAGAAGTTGCACAGTGTGCCTCAAAATGGCCTGAGCTGTGCATGTAGGTACTTAAAAAAGAAGGTATTTTTTTCACGCTGTGACCAGTGCAGAAGGCTGCAAAACTGAAGGCAAGGTGAAGCCAGGCATAAAGAGTCAGTACAACAATGTAACTGTAAAGGCAACAATCCCAGCACATGCAAACTGGTTTCAGGATTAAATACAAAAACAGTAAAAGAAGGTAAATCTAAACGAGAGCACAGTGCTGCTGAATTCAGATCAGTGTGGCTTTGGTTTTCTTACAGCTGATTCCTCCACGTGTGGCCCTCTCATTAAAGACGCTTTGTTCTCCTTCTAAACCAATCTAATGAAAGTGAGGCGTTACCATACTGCGTTTGAAATAATCCAGCCTCTGCTTTTCATCTTTCACTCAGCTAGTGAAGAACAGAGGGGGCCAAGTGTCACCATTTTCCCCTCGCTTCCTCCTCCTCATCCTCTCTGACCAGTGAAACCCTTCAAACCAACAGGAAAACTAGCAAACAGCTAATATAGAAAAATATACTGAGAACTTTTTTTTGTTTGTTTGTATTTTTCGTGTGTTTGCGTCTAACTTTTTCCAATGCGAGGGCAAGCTCGAGAAACGACATGCTAAAAAAAAAAAGAATCATTGTCTTGAAAAGTGGCGTTTTACCATTACCAGCTATCGAATTAATATTTATATACAGTACTTTTAAACACAGTTCAGTTTGCTTGTGAACTAAATACAGAAATGAAACGAGTGACAGAAACATTTTTTGGGGGGTTATTGACGAACACAAAAAAATAAGAAAAAGTAAAATAGCTTATCTAGCAGCGCTGTGGGTTTTAAATCCTATTTGCGCCATTAACACATTTAGCATGTCAAGGGAGAAATAGGTTCAGGAATGAAGTGCTTCCTAAGCAAACAAAATTAAATACAATGTATTAAAGAAGCCCATATCAGGGAGTAAATTTTAGACTTAAAAAGACAAACTGAATGTTCCTTTTCTGTACAGAATTGGACCCAAGCTAATTTCACAGTTCTAGGAAGTTCCCTGACCCTCCCACATTTCTTACATTCAATACTGCGTCAGGTAAGCTGTGCAAAACCTTACTTTAACTGGCTGGTCGCCATTTTCGTTGCATGTGTCTTTGGTACAAAAAACAATTAAAATATAGTGTGCAAATATTTGTTTTCTTGTAACTCTAAACCAAAAATATCTGTTAGCCCCCACCCGGATCCCCCAAAGAAGAGTACCAAAAACCAAAAGTAATCTATTGCAGAGCCCTCCTATATACACAGACTCTGTGGCATCACGCAACAAGAGCTTCCATTTGTTTATGTACATTCAGAATATATTCAAGCTGTCCATCCTCTCGCTCACTAACGAACTCCTCGTCTACGACGGACCCGCGGCGAGTCCGAACGCCTCGTCTTGTTCAGTCCTTCTCACACAAACACGACGCATACATACACAAGGCACGATGAAGAGAACTCTGATCAAACACGAGTATGAACACGTCAAGCTGTCGTCACCACACTACCCGATCAAATCTACTGTACAAAAAAAAAAAACAAGAAAAAGAAAAACAGAGCCGGTGCCTGGGAGACACTTCTATATACAGTTTCCTGGAGGAGATGGATCGTTGTTTATCTCGTCTTTATCCCCACAATTTGTATCTTCCTCTTCTTCGCCGCCTCCCATACTGGCAAAAAGCTAATTTTCATCCAGTCCAGTTATGACCAGCACAAAACGCCATGCTACATACGATTCCTCTTCAAATGGCCAACCATTTCCTGTTGTTGAGGGCAACATAAAGCTTTCTCCTGCTGGATATGTTTCGAACCAGCAGGGTGTTAGGTGAATGCTTGCATCTTTTATAGCATTAATTTACTAAAGCTATTTTTACAAGAGCAGAGCTGATTGGCAAACAGGGGATGGCGTGAAGATATTTAGGACTTCAGTATAAAATATTTCCTGCCACCCTGCTTTTTCTTGTTTTGTTTACTCCGCAGCTTTCTTGGCTACCAGAGCCATTTTTTCCTCAAAGTGCTTTAGTGAATGGGTCAATTGAATATCCTGGGTTTAGTTTTATTTTTGCAAAGTGTGGGGAATAAACCTCCAAATAAAAAAATACGTCTTTCATCTTTTGATTGTGTCAGGCATGTAACAAGTTTTCTTCTGACTTCATTACCACCTCAAACAAATTCCAGTGGTTATACTCGTGACTGTCCGTTTCAGTTCTGTAGAAGGCTACGTGAAGCGCATCTAATAATCCATCCATCTTCTTTACTCGCTTTTTCCTTTCAGAGTTGTGGGGGAGCTGGTGCCTATCTCCATAAGCACTGTGCGAGAGGCGGGGGACACCCTGGACCCAAGTCCATCGCAGGGCCACAGACATCTAATAACCACCAGAGGATTTAGGAAACGTGCTATTGAAATACACCTAACTATCACTTTAGACGTGCTTCTCCCAATGAACGATCACTATGGGTTGGGAGACAGTGATGCGCCAGCTCTGCACGCAGTAGAGACAGAAAGCCAGGGTGTGCCACACAGCTGCATGGCCGAAAGAATTACACATACATACGCACAGGGGAGTGGTATGTGTGTTTGAGTGACTGACGATGTGTATTTACTCTGAGTTGGCGGGGCATGCAGAGGGGAGCATAGTTACAACTGGACAGCACGGTGGTAACAATTAGTCCACTCCTCGCAGCTGACGGCGTTCTGTCTAGATTTTAGAGGTGGGGACCCGCAGGCCGACCAGACCGCCCGTGGGATCGCCACGTCCTGTGTTCTCCAAGATCTTGTTGACAAAGTCTGAAGTCTGCCCAGCAACAGGTGATGGCACTAGACACAAAGAATAAAAAAAATTAAAAAATCACTTAATCTTCCACAAGCGCCGTAACCACTCAGTTTATGGTTTCCTTTTTAAATTTTAATGTTTCTAAGACAAAGGAGATTGTCACTGATTTTAGAAAAGACTCTTCAGCTGCAGCTCCTGTGTCATTAACAGTGAAGCTGTCGAGGTGATGCATCAATATAAATATCTGGGAACTGTTCTCGATGACAAACTGACCTTTAACCTCCATGTGAACACACTTTGTAAAAAGTCCCAACAAAGAACGTATTTTTATCAGAAGCTCTGTGGTTTTAATGTTGATTCTACTTTTATGAGAATGTTTTATTGAGTCTCTTTTAACTTTCACCTTCATCTGTTGGTTTGGATTTATAACGTGCAAAAACTGGAACAAACTCTCGGGAATTGTCAGGATGTGCAGCAAAACTGCTGGCATAGCCCTACAGTACCTCACTACACAAGGTGAGGTCAGTGAATAAGGCCAGGCTGATTCTGGCAAATCCTGATCATCCACTCCATGGTGAGTTCAGCTTGTTTCCATCTGGACGCAGGTATCTGCAGCCCAGATGTAACGAACAGACTGAAAAACCCATTCATCCCTGTAGTGACCAGGCTTCTCAACGAACAAAGATGATTTCTGTTCTGTTATTTTAATGTTTCAATGGGATAATAAAGATTCTTAAACTTGAACTATGGTCACTACTTGGGATTAAACATTTCCCTCATCCACATCTCCATGCCTCACCAAGTGTCTCCTTGATGAGTCGCTCCAGAGTCTCCGTCATGTTGGTCTGACGAGGTGACGAGTCCTCGACTCGCTGCACGATCTCCTCCTTGATGGCGTTGATCACAAACAGTAACCGATCTAAAGCAAGACATTTGTTTAAGCGCTTCAAATAAACTATGAATCATAAAAGCTCAGTGATTTTCAGATGGGAGATTTAACAAAAACAGCAGTTTAGAAAACGCTGATGATAGCTTTTATGAAATATTATTCCATCAGCAGAAAGTTGTTTTAAAATGTGAAAGTAATAAAATAATATTGCCATCTTTACTTATTTATAGAGATAATATAGTAGAGAGCAGAGAAGCTAAACTCACCATACTCTGTACTGAGTCCCCAAAGCTTCACTTTATTTGCTTCATACTGGGCCTTCTTTTTTAAACGGCAAGCCCTGAAATACACACGCGAGTGAATATTGTGTACAGTTGCTCATCGTACAGCTCTAGTAATAGAAAAACACCAGTTTTTTTTTTACCTAGATGCCAGCTTGTTCTTTTCCTTGCGGGACCGTGGCCGTGCGGTCAGCGGCAGCTCGCTGACGGGGGTCAAGTCACTGATCACCTTGTTCAGTTTGCGAAGCTCTGTGCCGATTTGCAGCAGCTTGCGAGGATTCGGCGTTAGGTCTTCCACATCGGTGCGTCGAGACTTCTTCAGCATGTACTTCCCTTTGTAGCAGAAAACAAAACAAAACCTTTAGAGATGACCAGAATATACTGTAAATCTCATATGGAGTCTTTGAAAACCAGTCGAGGCATGCCTGTAAAATGAGACACATAAAACACTGTCTACACAGACACAGACTAATAAAACAAAGCTACAGTGTATGTATAGTGTATATATATATATATATATGTGTTTGTATATGTACCATGGAGAGGCCCGTTCTTCTGGTACAGGTTGCTAGGTAACGTATGTCTGTCCCACTCAGATGGCTTCAGCATACGCTCCTGTTTGGAGGGGGTGAGCTGCTCGCTGTACTCCCAGAAGTAACGACGCTTGCCTCTTTTCCGACTGGAGACTCCAGCTGTCAGGCCTTTAATGTCCTCCGTCAGCTCCATGTCGCAGCCTGGTGCAGTTAAAAATCAGAGGATTAATGGGAAAACAAAGGAAAATCGTCCTCAAATACTAACAAATGTAAACATGAAGGTAACTACCTGGCTCAGAGAAGGCGTCACTCATGTCATCGTCCTTGTCTGCCTCGTAATCTTCATCCTCCTCTTCTTCCTCCTCCTCCTCCTCCTCATCGTTTTCGGACAGCTCGTGCTCACTGCCAAAACCCTCGTCGTGGTCTTCATCGTCCAACTCCAGCCCATCACCTTCGTCCTCCTCTGCTTCCTCCTCGTCGTCGTCCTTGTCATCATCTTCCTCTAGCTGAGCGTGAGCTCTGCTTCGGGTCAGGAACAGAGAGTAGTTGTGCTCTTCCTCCTTGCTTAGCTCAGAGTCTTCGACAGCCAGTGAGCTACCACCACCTCCTTCGTTAACCCCCACCACATCGCCGCTGTCCCCCATCGCAGAGGCACCGCCCACTGTCTGGTTGGCCTCAGCGCCACGAGTTGGGACCTCTCTTCTTGTTGTCCCTTCTGCTTTCTTCTCAAAGCTCGCCAGGCTGACAGAGCTGTTGGTTGCAGGGGCAGAGAGTCCCACTAAAGTGATGCTGACAGAGGTGGAGGGCTTTACATCTGGAGGCTGGGAGAGGGGCACAGGAGGGTCCGACTTTTCAAAATCTGCCAGGGCAGGCCTGTCACCTTCAGCTCGGAGCGCTGAACTCACTCGTACTTTAGCTTTCCGCACAAAGTCAGAGTTGTGGGACGTCAGTGCAACAGTCTTAGTTCCTCGTCCCACAGGCTTGATTTGAACCTGCCCGTGGTCCTGGCTGACACTGAGCAGGTTCTGGGTCTTGGCCATAGTCTCAGTGCTGGAAGGAATGGGTCTAGTTGCTCTTTGGGAGCCTTCGGGGAAATCTGGAAGGAGGCTGCGTGAAGGACGAGACTGGGAGGAGGATGTGGTGCCTGGAGATGGTCGGACTGAGCTGGGGCTCGATCCATGGCCAGGAACGGGGTGTCTTTTATTGTGAGAAGAGAGTTGTGGAGGTTGGGGCTGAAGCTGGGGGGCAGGAAGGTTCAGGTCTACAGGAGGACAGAGTGCCTCACACACAGGCAGGGAATCCTCGCTGTTGAGCTGTGCCAGTGTTGGTGTTTGACCAATGACTTCCTCATCCTGGTAAGGACTGGAGAAGTCATCCAGACCAAGGAAGTCCACCTCTTTGGTTCCCCAGATGTCACAGCTGGCCAGTCGTGTGTATCTATCAACAACGAAGAAGATGCAGTTTTAACACTGGAACCTAATGTTGTCTAATCGTTGTTTAGGATGTAAAAGTTGTGTTTTACCTTTGTTTTATAAAAAAAAATCTATTTATTACTGGATTGAATGTTCCTCAGACTATTACTTTTATGTTACTAATGTCAATTTCGTTTACAGTTATTGTTACAACATGCTAGCTACAGTACAATCAGTCTAAATGTAGTGTTGGATAAAAGATATAAAGTTTAGCCTTCACAAACTTTTTTTAAAATAGGAGAAAGATGAGAGGGGGACATGTTTTTATGAAATGTTTTTGTTTAAATTGATATAAAAAGTTAAGCCTTGATATCTCATACCTGGTGAGGTCTTCCCAGTAAGGGTCCCACTGTTCAAACGCTGAGCTGCCGTAGACGGTCTCACACTCGCCTAGGCTCATGAGCTGATCCGCACCTCCCTCCACCTCTTTCCCTCCATCCCCAATCCCCACAATGCTGTCCCCATAGGGACCCTGTCGATGGGTCATGTCCGTGTCCTGCAGAGAAAAGCAAGAAAACAAAGTTGAATTTAGCAGGAGCTGAATTACAAGATGTTCTGTTTGGAAGCTTTGTTTTATCGAGGCCCTGAACACAATGAGCATCTCTGTTGACCTGCACAAAGAAATAATAAAAATCTAAACCCTTCTACAGCAACTAGCATTTATTCAAACTGAAACTTGAAGTAACCTGTTAAACATCTTACATATCAGAACTGAAGACTTGACAAGTTGCAATCTTTTAAACTGGTGTTGGTACGTCTTTAAAACGAGGTATAAAATTAAACAACTCTGTTTATAGTTTTATAGTTAAGACGCATTTTTTCTTTTGTAAATCTGAGCCAATACAACAGGACGAGCTGCAGACGCCTTTACAAATTCTTTGCATTACTGGCGAATTAGCAATGTTTGTCAAATGTTTTTACGTGCGAGTACAACTAAAAGTGAAATGCAAGACAGAGAATTCAACAATTCACTGTGCTAGAAAGAATCCACCTGGAGGGCACCTTGAATAAACTGCAGAAAAATAAGAGTATCAGAAAGTGATAACATCAAATAAATACCACTGGAAGACTGAAGACAATGAGTCATCCTACACACCAGCATCCAGTTAATGTGTTTTGTTATGGTGCAAAGTCAAGAGCTCAGCGGTGAATCACTAATGTTTAGTCTACAGCGACCGGTGAATTAAAGCGGACACCTCTTTGAGACAAAATGAGGCGCGACGGGAAACGTTTCCGTTTAAACCTGCCTGAACAAACCTGATGAATGTAACAGATGGCAAACAAATGAAAGTGGACCTCTGGTTTTCAATTCCCATGAAAGAGTCAGCAAAAAGCTACGATGTGCTTCTACAAATGTGTTTCCTGTATAAACAAAAATATAAAGGGGGGAGGCTTGCTCCTCCAGGAAAAAGCTGACGTTCTGCTCACTCAGCAACAGCACCGTGAACATCATGTTTGAAACATTTTACTGCCGCCTATTAACCTAACACAAACATCAACAATCACTTCTCTTTACAACATATATTAAATCGGTGGAAATGCACAACACACATCAGTTTGTAAAAAATTACTTTTTTGTGTTGTTTGTTTCTAATCGATCTGAGAATAATAACGTGCATATAATCCAATGTACACCAAATTCTACACAAAATGTTTTATTTGATTTTAATTTCATATGCACTTTATTTGCATGTAAAATATAAACCTGGAGGCTGAAAGGATTGCATGCTGTAAAAGAAAGTTTTTGAAAAGGCTGTAAAAAATATATATATATATTTTTTTAAGTGTATCATCATCACAATATCAGTGAGCAGCACATTGATCATTGACTATTGTCTAAGTAGCAGACGCTCATTCTACATACCAATAATATATTTAGTCACTCCAACAAACTCAATGACCTGGATGCTGACAAACAGGTCGAGAAGATTAATAGGAGCAAAAAAGGGAAGATTTACCGCAGTTGATTTTGTTGTATTGTTCTAACATTGTGCAGCCCCAGTTTTTAAAATGAAGTTAAAACTGTGAGTAATGTTTAATCAACACGAGTTAAACCAGTGGTACCCAACTCTGGTCCCTGAGGAACACCACCCTGCATGTTTTAGTTGTTTCCCTACTCCAACACACCAGATTCAGTGATTTAATTACTTCCTCTTATTCTGCAGAAGTCTGTAAAACACCCATTTATTAAAATCAGGTACGTCTTAGCAGGAAACAACTAAAACATGCAGGATGGTGTTCCTCAAGGACCAGGGTTGGGAACCCCTGAGTTAAACAAACTTCTGAAACCCTTAGAAACAATAAAAAAAACTATTAAAGCTAATAAACTAAAAGCTAAAATTACTAAATTACACACATCCATGTCTCAACGGTGAGCTAACTTCACTTCATCCCTCACATTTTCGTGTAAATTCCATTTGACCCTTTCATGCACTTTATTTTGCAAGTTCACACAAGTGGTCTAACATTTCTTTTTCTTTTCTCGATACATGCTAACTCACAGCAGAAACATTTTTTGTCACTCAAACTAACCACAAACTGATTCACTAGGATCCCAATATTAGAAAATATCACTGTTCTTCGTTTAGCAAACAACAAGCACACACACACAAAAAAAAAAAAAAAAAACTACCTTCACTCCATCAAAACAGATTACAACTCATAACAGGAAATAAAAATTTTTGTTGTCAATAAATACAAATAGTAATCTGTAACAAATGGTCTTTTGTTTAATAGCAGAACATTTCAACCACTGAGGCTGGAGAGAGTGACTTATCGCTTCGTACCATCCATTTGGAAATGTGTTTAAATCCAGTCCATGATCTAATGAACATTAAGTGACGGACGACAAGCAGACTATCACCGAGAGCTGTGATAGATTTTCCCAAGGGCAAAATAATAAGATAATCTGCAACACTTAACATTTTGAACAAGATAAACAAGGTTGTTTAAACTTCATAGGGATGTAAATCACTATGAGCGGTTAAAAGAAAAACGCTCAAAAGGATGGATAAGGTTTGACGGCTGTGTGTTATTACATGACCAGTTTCCAGTGTGCGTATGGGTGTTACTCACCAGCTCATACATGAAATCTGGGTCAGAGTTGGTGGACAGCAGCTCGGTGCTGGTCAGGGCCTGGTCAGCAAACGAGTAGTTTTGAAAGGCGTCCCCAAAGGGAGGCTCCATCCCACTGACGCTGGGCTGAAACGGAAATAAAAATGATAACTGAAAACACAGGAGTGAGCAAAACATAACGCACATCACCAAGTCAAATAAACACTTTTATTCTCCTTTAACTTTTTCACCTTTCATACGTCTTCAGTTTTATTAAGGATAACTCGTACCGTTTGCCTACAATCTACTTTTGTTGTTATAATGTCTTTATTTCCTCCAAATAGTTTGTTACAAATAAATGAGTCAAACAGAAACTGCAACCATCTGATGTGAACCATCACCGCACCGGATGTTTGCACTACTGCCGAGTGATAAACAGCAGCTCATTTTGAACATTTAATTATCTAAAACTGTCTGTTGTACAACATTAGATAGAGATTCTCCTTGCAGTGATTTGTTTTATCACTCCGTTTCTAAAACCAGAGGAATTTGTGATTTAATAAAACATATTTAGGAGGAGCAATGCAAAAATAATGATCTGAAGATCAGGAAACCCAATGCTCTGCTCGTGGTGATCGATGGGCGCTTTGTGATAATTTAGAGAATTCACAGCACATAAAACTGTGCCTCAATAACATGAGGATTAATCATTACAGTGCTTCATACAAAGTGGTTGTGTTGGGAGTTAAACATAAAATCTGATCATTCTCTCTTGTGCAATCTGATAACATTCAGCAGGAAATTCTGGTGATAGAACAGTCTTAAACATTGACTTAAAATAAACTTTTAACCATCAATTGAAATGTTTAAAGCTTTGGTGTAATACAAGGAAAATGTGACGTGTTCATTTTTAAAATTTAACAGTTTTATCTGATTAAAGGATCATAAAGAGAAAAAACTATCAGCTTAATGCATTTACATAATCTAAACAAAGCAATCATAAAACCCTTGTTTTATCATTTAGATGACAGTCTTAATTGTCATTTCAGAGATTAAAACACTGCCAGACAGAATGTTTATGATTGTCCATATCAGTATTCATTAGTTAAAGCTCTAATGTTGCTTCGATCAATAATGACTGAGAAGAAAAACATTTGAGGCATCACTGGTTCTAAAAGCGCGTCGAAAACTATTAAATGTTGCGCCACAGTCATTTTGAAAAGAGAAGATGTATGAGAGCATAGTGTGTTAGAGCAATAAAAAGAAGTCTTTACATCGACTGGCAGAGAGATGAAAATGAGAAAACACCTCCAGGCTGAGGGCGACTTGTGTTATAATGATCAGATCTAATTCAATTATAGCCCGTTACATTTTGCAGATGTGTTCCACAAGGGTGTTATATTTGTGCAAAGCTGTGTAAATACATATGTTGATTTGAAACCTTATTAATGGGGGTATGGGTCAACATTCATTTTAAATGCACCACTTTGCAGACATGGAAGATTCTGAATTGTAACATTAAAAATCTATTTTGTAAATGTTAATCAGTGCAGAGGCTAGTGAAGAATTCCCACGATGCTAATCACATTAGCTTCTCTATGGAATTTTTTATGTAAAGTTAGCGTCTTTGCTAATTGTTGGTCAGCAGCCTATGATTATTGATGTTTTATTATTTGTTATTTTACACCATTTATTAGGCGTGAAAATATATAAATTAGAGTTTATGTAAATGAGCATATGTTTATGTTCACTGTGGCGACCCCTATCGCAGGGAGCAGCCGAAAGAAGAAGAAAGAAGTTTATGTAAATGAGCCATAGTCAAAGTTTCAGGATGATAAAAAATGCATCAATAATTGTTTTATAAATGCATCACAACCCTTCGAATCTTAATCAAATTGAATCGTGATATACCTAAAGAGTCCCACAGCTACTTAGTCCATTTATTGCATTTGTAATGAAGCTAGTTTTGTCTGATAAAAAAAATATCTGTTATCTGATAAACTAAAAGAGATTCAGACCTTGTTTACATGGGAACGACCTCTGGAAATAAAATCATATTCATGTTTATCTGGTAACCCTGATGCTGGGCTCAGCTGCATGCATCGTGCATGCACTGTCTGCATGATCACAGTTACATCCAAACTAGTGAACACATGGACGTTCCTTTGGACCTACTTGTATTGTTTTTGCTCCATATTGGAAAAAAAAAGTTGAGTAGCACAAAAAAACTGTCTGCTCTCTGTCATTTATTGGAACCGTTGTTAGTGCAAAAAAAAAACTTTTGACTACAGCCGCCTGTAGACACCTGCGAATTATTTCAAACCTATGCGGGGGGTTCCCCCAAAATCTCCAGAAACCTGGATTAAATAACGTCCGGTTTCAGAGAACGAGGGCTGTTGTCATGTACACGAACGGCCGAAGCTGCAGAAAAGCTGCAGTTTCACTCAAAACACGCGTCGTGTAAACAGGGCCTGTTTCTGTCCCAGCTGCCAGGACACTACGATTGTTCATGACAGAGAATTACAATTTAGGATAAAGAGGTTGGTTAACAATCACAATTAACAGCATAGAGAGTTCAGATAAATGATGCTGAATATTTATGCTGCAGCATTGAATATGATTTTTTTTTAAAAAGGGGGATCTTTGAGCTCTTGACAGGCTGCATTCACCGTGTTGTTTCTGTTCATTCAGCACTGCAGAAAACTTAAAAACTAACGTGATGCACACACTCAGCCGTCTTGGTGCTTCTTTAGAAGGGTTCAGTGAATGACCCACTCACATTCATTCATTTTCATCTGAATCAGCTATTTAATTGCAGCCTTTTGTGGGTCACACTGAACCAGGGTCAGTCAGTCTGAAAACTGAATCACATCAGCGATTCTGTCGCATCCACTTCCCAAAAATCTTCTTTGTATCTATGATTTGTGTTACGTTACGTCATTTAGTATTTTAGGGCTCGCAAGTTTCAGAACTAGTTTTTGTAGAGGACTAGTAATGTTTTGTTTCAGTCACCTTGATTGGTTCATTTGCAGTCAATAATACACTTTTCTGCCAGCTGACAGTACAGACCTGCTGTTTTCATTTATTGCACCTTACCTGAGGCATTGCCAGGCACAGCTTAGAGCTCCAGCGGCGGGAACCTCTGGGTCTCCTGTCCAGTCCCACTGGTGTGAGACTATCAGATCAACACAATAAAATTCTGCCGAGAGAGACGATCACGAAGTGCTGAAGGATGCAGCCTTCTCGGCTGGAGGAAGAGGGGGAAAGACGAGTAACTTGGCTCAACCCGGTTTGGTCTGGTCCGTTGTAGTCTGCTGTGTTCCTCTATATGCTTCAAATCTGTGGTAAAAACAGAGAGAGCATCGAAAAGTTACATAAACGTGGAAAAAAACAACTTTGGATTATTTTACAGGTACACAGCTGCTAGTTTTTATTCCCACAACACACGACAGAGTGTTAAATGTGGGTTTACAGGTTTACAAACAAAACAAAAACTAGCTTAACTGTTGACAATAGCCTGCTGTAAAAAAAAAAAAAAAAAAAAAAAAAAAACATCTTAAAATGGCACAAAGGCAAGTAAATGAGATATGTACAACAAAACCAAACACCAAATACATTTGTTGAACAACAAAAAACTATTCAGAATTTTATCTTGCCAAACATGGTGGTGGACGGTTTATGATTCGGGCTTGTTTTTACAGCCACAGAACTGAACTCTGGGGCCCAAAGATTTCTGCCGTGTTGAAAACCATACAAACTTCTCATCACTTCCCATTCATGTCTTGATGCATGCTCAATAATCCAGGTAGACTCTAACAAGGTCGAGTCAGGTCCTCTGGACGGATTCCTCTTCGCTGGAACTTTACATCTTTTATCCAAAAGACTTCATCAGACTGAAGAAGACTTTGGATAAAAGATTAAATGTTTCAACAAAGAAGAATCTGTCCAGAGGACCCGACTCAACCTTGTTAAACTCCCCATTCATTCACTCCCCAGGATGTACAGTTTGACTGACACCTTTTGTACATGCAACAGTCTTGATAGTCTTAATTCCAGTTAAGTAAAAATGTTCGATTTCAGCTGAGCTGTTTAAATTATACTAAATCACTTGTTCTCATTATAATCTAAACGACTTGTTATATGAACATTATAAAATATTAAAATACATCAAACATTTCTATATAAGAAAGAAGTTGTTGAAACAAGCCCATTTTAGCTCTAATTTAATCATGTCGCTTCATCGGCGGACTTGTGTTTCTTCGCATACTCCCTTGAGAAGTCAAACACAAAGACTGTGTTTGTCGTTACCTAACAAATAAAAACTGAACACACACAAAGACATGATGACCCCAGCAGTGATCGCACAACAAAAAAAATGATACGCCAAACCAAACCCTGTACGAGTCCACCAAACAACTTCACTTCCTTCTGCTCAACGATGACCAAAAAAAAAAAACTTCCGCCCGTGACTGTTCGATCTCCTCATGTACAGACTTTGCATAAAGACAGGAAGTGGCAAAAAAAAACACAACTCACAACTGAGACAAGTGTCAATGTAAAAGCAACAGTTTCAAATACTCCTGAGTGCATACAAGTACACTTCTCTAAATGTGCACATTTAACAATGACAACTTAGAAACATCTCGGCCTTAAAAGTACAAATATTAAATGCCCTCGGTGCTTCTTTCCTATGCATCTATGTCTGGATTTATGTGCAAGAGTGACCGAATGAAACGGCATTAGTCCTGAACCTTAGCTATAACCAAGGGCCCTCAAGAACGGATTTTGAGAAACAAAAAAACAAGACAAAGCACTCATGCTTTAAAAAAAAAAAAAAAAGCACAGCACATTTTCAGAGGCAGACTTTAATCCAAATCACTGATCAGTAGCTAACACAGGCTGTGAGGCAGAGCCAGATATTTAGGAGCTTGGTTGTGCATTGAAATGTTCAGAATAGCTCATCTTCTTCAGGCCTACTTTTAGTTTGAAATTATCTTTTTCAAGACTGACACAAATGCAAAACCTTCAGCTGTCTGCAAAAAAAGAAACATGAATTAAAATGAAGCTGCCAAACAGGACAGACTATTTGCAGCTTCATGCTTAAAATTTAAAACAGAGTGTGAACTCTGGGTGAACTCAGGTTCATAACATCCTGACTTCATCCTCTGCAGTCTTGCAAACTTTCAGTGATTTGTCACAATGAACTACAGCTTTATCACTCAACTGCAGCTGCTCAGGTTGTGCATTAAAATCACATAGCACCTGACTATTTACAAATCTGCGGCTGGTATTTTTAGCACACCTTGGCAAATAACTTTGTCATGTGTGGTCCTAATTGTAATTTCAACAGAAAGACATGGCTTCCCGTGTGAGTCGATAAACTCAACGCGGAGCTTTTAAGACTGTAAAGCAAATAGGCAAGTGATGCTGCACACTGACAGAAATGTTTCCATCACTGCAACAGTGAACCAACTGGTAAAACAGCAAAAGATAAGCAAGCAAGTTTCAGGCCCCGTTTACAAAACGCTGTTTTTAAGTGAAACCAGAATATTTCTGTTGCGTTAAAGACATTCATGTGCATGACAGCGGGGATCGTATTGTCCGACACTGAAACTTTTTAAAATCCCGGTCTCAAGAGTGGAAATTTTGGGAAACCCAACATTGTTTCAAGGTTGAACACAACTTCTGTGAAATAACTTACGTGCACAGCATTAACGTGTGAATGTATAATGTTATTTTACAATCAACATCTAAAAATATATGTTTCTGGAAACGGTTTGTGTCTAAATGGGATCCTACTGAAGAGCAATCTGATATTAGGACCCTATTTACACGTGAACAATCCCCTGGAAACATTATAGATTATTTGATGTTGATTATGGAAACATTACTCATTCATACGGCAGGAAATAGACGTAAAAAAACATTGAATCCGCTGTAGTGTCCATGTGAGGTCAGTAATAGGCGCTGTAATGGTTGTATTTGAACAACATGTCTGCATGCACTCTGACACTTCAGTTTTGAGAATAAAACCAACTATAAGCCTGTTCAGTGTTTATACTGCATGTGTGAAATGCTCAGATTTTTTTTTAAATGAGTGAGTAGCACAAACAGCACTCTGCTATCCACCATTAGTGCGGTTGTTTATCTACTCGCACAAGTGCAAAAAAAGCTATTGGCTGCGGCCGGCCGAAGTACGCATGGCCAAATTCACGTAAGATGCATTTTCCACTAAGACAATACCAGTTTTTAGTTTCCAAAAACTCTGCAACCTGAATTCAAATGTTTTGGAGTCAGAGAAAATAACTGCTGATGTTTTGTACACAAGCAGCTGAAGATCAACAGAAATGTTCCTGTTTCACTTAAAAACAGAGTCGCGTATACTGGGCCTAAAGCAGCTGAGACTTCACTTGAAAGTGAAGACAAAGTAGATGCCAAGTCCCATCCATATTTAAAAAAAAAAAACAATATGTAGGAAGAAAACAAAGGAAAGGAAAGCCAAAATCATGTATAACTACAGAAAGAACGAGCAGGAGATGCCAGCTTGTTTATGAGCATGAGTGCAAACATCACTGTCAGTAATCCATAAGCCATGATGTGTTAGTAGAATGTGACATGACAACAGAATGAAAATTGATATGAAACAAGAGTTCATTATGCTAAATAAAAGTCGAGGGACTGGCATTGTTTATTTACAAAACATACTGGTTTTAGCAATTCCACATTAGATAGTACAGATTTTGAACCAACTCTTGGCTTTATTTCTGATACATGAAGTACCGAAAGAGCCACCATGCATGCAAGATATCTGCAACTGCACATGAAGCTAAGCAATCTCTCATTAAAATAACTGTCAGTACAATTTAACTGTGTCAAGAGTGAAGGCTGATGCTGCAGAGTCTTTGTGTTTTTACATGCTTGAGCGTTTTTGCACAGCTGATACAATCTTCTTCAAGGGTTCATCTGCACTATGGTAACAGCATAGTTCTCATTACTTGAGAAAATAGTGATCCTTTACTTCACCTTTTCTATCAGCACCACTAAATGTGTCCTTCTAGAGTTACAATTTTCACATAACATGTTACTTTGTCATACAAATACTTTGGAGGCTTTGAGACAAGGAGCTAAAATTATTCCAGGTAAAGCCCCAGAGTTAAATGTTTAAGCAACTAAATTGTGATTTTATTTTTTGTCTTGAAAAGTGATCAGAAGCCAAATGGGCCCACCATCACACAGGCACGACCGTGCTCGTCTGTTATGACCCCTGCAAATAAGACTTTTGTGGAGCTAAAAGTGACAGATGTACTCAATATTACACAGTCAGGCTGCCATAACAAAATGTAATGGAAAAGCACCAGGAGTGTCACACCTGACCTCAGCTGCTGTCTAATTAATGACAAGCATTGTCAGTCTGAGAGGGACAGTAATATAACCATGACATCATCTTGTATCACTTTACATGAAATGTTTATTGGAATAATTATAGAGTGATTTTCTTTTATTTGATTCTACATCAGTTTGATCAATTTAACCATGGCATCAGAACTGACTTAACCGAGCAGAATTTTCCATCAGTAAATGATCCAGAGAATCATTAAAACATGGAATTATAGAAACGCATGCTAAACAAAATATGACGATTTTATTAAGTGTTTTGGCTCACTGACTACCTCACTTTTACAAAACACTGCTGCTCAGGCGTCAGGAGTTTTCTTGCTTTGGCACTTAAGAAATAGCAGACAAGTATATTGGCTTGGAACTGCTGGCTGCCACAACCCTTTATTTAGATGTGTTTTTTAAGATAAGTACAAACTATCACTGCTAATTGCTGCAATAAGTTTAAGAACCTGGTCACTTGTGCTTTTCCTGCTGAGACAGGTTTGTGTCTTTGTTAAACTGATCAATTTATATATTGTACAAACAAACGCAGAAGGTCACAAAGCCTTCAGTAATTAGGTTAGCCAGGTTTAGCCATGCAGAACATACACAGGTCAAATTAAACACGTCAGCGAAATCTAAAATGTGAAAGAATGTCAAGTTTCTTACAAAAAGAGCTTCCTGAATTTATTTAAATGTACTCATTACATAGTTATAAAGTGAGCATGAACGGTAAACTCATTAGCCCAGAATAAATTTCACCAAAGCCAAGCGTTTGAATGCAGAGCTCTGTTCCAGATATTTACTTCTTGACAGTTATTTTACTCGTTCTCT